TATCATGGGCTGTCATATTTCCAGAATGGTTTTGGTTTTTCCTCAGATCCCTGATATCTCATACACAACTGGTGTGGGATAGGAGAGAAGGGCATGGGGCAGATGCAGCATCACGGCAGCCCCGCCTCTGAGGTGGGGTATATTCCCTCCTTATTCCCTTGCCTGAGGGATGAGGAGGGTCATGGAGCAAGGTCCGTAGGCAGCAGGTGTGCATGGGCTGAGTACGACACGGTGAGGACAAGAGCACAGCGCCCGTAGGAACAGGACTGCAAGGTACTACATCCCCTCCAGGGCAAGCGGGAGACAGAGATGGGGGAAGGTGGGTCTGAAACAGGGCTTGGGGCAAAGCTACAGGCTGTCCTCTGGGGAAGCACCATTATACAGGTGGATTTTAAATCGGTGCTATGTAGAAAGCCTTACAGACATGCATATTGGAGCAACAGGGGACATTTGTGACCTCCATACTTTGTAAGGAAAAAAATTTGTTTGAAAAGGAACCCTTATTCTTGACACATTAATGACCAATATTCAAGATTAACAAAAATATTCCATACCAGAATACAATGTTAAGAGACCTTACCATGAAACAAGCATACTTCAGAAAGTACCCCTTTGTTCTACCTTTTTTTTTGTTACATCTGCTAGAAATAATGACTACAGAATCTCTTTCAACAAAAGGTCATTTATGTCAATGGACAGAACACAGAGGATCAGATCACCTGCGGTAATTGCAAATTAATGCTCTACTGCTAATGCATTAACTACACAATATTGATCTACAATTCAATCATACAGGCTACTGTGAAGTGATTTTTACTTTAATATTTTTACGCTTTTATTGCTTTTTCCATAATGCATTTTCTCTTTCCACTGGAATTTTCTATAATTGTCTCCATTTTTAATTTCCTACAGCGAGATGACTTTGAAAAATGTATGGCTTTTTCAAAGCCTTGCAAAAATCTAACAAACCATCAATGTGACACGGTAAATCACATACATGATGCAAAAGATGCAAAAAAATCCAATATATATCTTATTTTGACAAACGGATGCTTTAAAAAAAAGCTTACTTAAAAAAACCCACAACACTTCAGCCTCACTGGAAGCCTATAGTAAAGAACCGTACCTCAGAAAGATGCAGATAGACATTTCTGGAGCTTTTGGTATGCAATGAGTGCAGGATTATCTCCATAAATAAAGTTGTAAATTTTTTTTAATTTCATGCCTGTACTGAAAAGGGATTGGTGGATTTGGGTATGTTACAAAAAAGTATAGTGCTATGGAATCAGCTGAAGTATGATTGAAATGTTTCAGCACTTTTAAAGAAAAGTTAAAAACCAAGTGGGGTCTTTTTGCAACTGTTCCTGCCATAAAGTGGAAGAATGCTCTGTTAAATTGCTGTATCAAATTTTAACCCCAGCTACTACGGACTACAGTGATCCAGTTTGTTTTCTGTACCTGCTGCAAAACTTTCTTACACGTAACGACACCAAGATGTTCCCCTCCATCTTCTAAAGGAGGGCAGGGAACACACTTTGAATACTGAAGCTCTCTCCTCAAACCATTCCCTAATATAATTGCTTAATACGACTTGAGGTGGTTAGAGCATATATCAAAATACGGCTTACCACCTGACTCCTGACTTGCATTCCTGTGTATGATGATTTTGTAAATGGAAAATAAATCCCCACGTTTTAAAAATAAAAGCAATTGAAAAAAATAATGGAGAAGTGATTGTAGGTGAAATAGCTGCAGAGGAAAACCTGATCTTGCTTTTAACGGAGGTACATTTATTATTCATAAACCTCTTCTCCAAGAGATATGCCACATTGCAATTAATTCGACTCACACAAAGCCTCCGTATTAGCTTAGCCCGTGAACGTCACCCTCTCAGGGCAGAGAAGACACAGAGCTCTTGTCTAGCCGAAATGAAGGGAAGCCCAACGGCCAGGCAAGTGCTGCTCTCCTAGGCTCTGCAGCTGGGCTCCACGGGTGGACCAATACAACCTGTGCTGCGTAGTGGTACCAGACTGTGTTTAATGCTGGATGAACTGATATTCCCTACCCTTTTAAAATACTGCTAATCAGGAAACATCCACAGGCTATTCTGTGTAACGGGGCAGTGACAGCAGTGGCCGTACCCGCTCCCAGGTTGAGAGACCACTGCTCATTCGGCACAGCTGAATGCAGAGCTCGCTCCAGCATGGCCAAAGCCTGGGCTGCTCGCTTTCTGCAGCTGGAGCAGTCATAGGGTGTCCTCATGGTTTTGGAAATGTGAAGTAAGATCACAAAATGTACAGTATTGTGTCAGTTCAAGTGTCTATTCAGCACCACCTCCAAAAGTGGCAAACTTAAGATAAGGCTATGGGACATGTATACACAGTCCCAGCTTCTACCTGCTTAACTTGGGGGCTTGCTAGGTAGTGAATCTTAATATACTGAATCATTCAGTAGATCACTTTATTTGATGCAGTCTCCAGATTCTGGACTTGCTCTGTATTTTGGTACTGAGAAACCAGAAGAACTATGAAGCTCTTATGATAAGCAACAGAGGTTTTGACTGTTGAAGAAGGAACAACTTGGGCACTTGATATCAAGGACATGTGAGAGAGAGATTTGGATTCAGGAAAAAGCATATTATCTGGCTATTTGTATGACCTTGTTAAGAAGGAAACCAGCAGCAATGATTCTCATAATCCTAATTAGTTTCCAAAGATGACTTACAAAGATGAGGCTGTCTTCTTCTGACTATCACAATGTATCCTGCCTGAGCAGCAAAAAGTTTCAGCCTAGTCCCAGTCAAGTGTATTTATTGTAAGGCTTGTCTATACAGATCGATTGTTTCCCTCTTCCTTCCATTTTCCTTTCCCAAGATGAGGGAAAGTCTTATGGCTTGTACTCACAATCTTGCATGAGTTTACTAAAGGCTTATTTTTAAATAAATGTAATTGAACTAGTTCAGACCCTTACCTAGGCAGCAGCTTTAGAATCCATTTATCTCAGATTAGTTTAAATGACTTCCCTACTTTAGTGAAACAGAAATAAGCCACTCAAACTGGGGATCGGTTTGATCCAGAGGAGTTTAAAATCAGTTCTAGAGGTGACTTAAGTTAAACTAGTGAAGCCTAAGGACAAGAAAAGAGTTTTTTTTCACCATCTCTGGGAAAATCTGTCTAAAAGAGAAATTGTTCGGTAAGGGGCAGAAGACCAATACAAATACAAGTCATTTCTGGAAGCCAGTTCCAGAGAACTTGATTATTACCAAAGAGAAAACAATAATTAATGTTTTGTAAATCCAATATTCTTTCTTGTGAGCACTGAGAGGGATGTCTACATTAAATTATATTTCAGAATTTCCCATTACCATTGGGGCAAACCACAAAAAAGAAAAGAAATCATAAAAAATAAACAGCTGCGCAGTCTATAGGAAGGAAAAGTGCATAAATTACATTAAAAAACTTCATTTTTAGTCACCCAGAAACAGACACAGCAGACGTAGAACAGAAAATCATTCTACTCTGTGTAGTTCAGATCACATAACATTGTTACAAAGCCATCAAAACTGCAGCTCTATTGGCAATAACAAATGAAATGCCTCTATAGCACTAAAAACATTCCCTTGCCGATCCTACTTTTTTGTAGACAAAAAAGCTTTGCTTTGTAATTTGTACCATTACTTAGTATTTATATGGAAGAAGCTCTCAGACCATTGCGTAAGAAAGGTAGATCTTTCATCTGTCCATGGCAGAAGAAGAGTTTGAAGCATTCTAATACAAATTTTTTTTTTTTAAAAAAAGTAAATTATATTAATAAATCCAAAGAATATAGAAGTCTACAAAAAAGCAGTAGCCTTCTACTTCAGCTCCCAGAGATGCTAACCTTAATGTGCATTAAAAACCCCAACCAAACCAATCTATTGAGTTGGCCTTGGTTTTATTTTTTTTTTTTCTGAAACATAGCAAACAAATGACTAATCTCAGCAGTCACCATAGCTGTGCAAAAGGGATGGTCACACTGAATCTAATTTTAATGTCAAAGTGAATTGTGGGAATTAAACTACTCCAGCCATCCCATGGAGTGACACAAAGCCGATATCCACAGGATCCACAGCTGCTGTTGTCTATGATGGGAACCACAGATAAAGGGGACGAGTACCTACCAGAATGTAACAATATGTAATGGAATAATATAACATAACCACCACCTGCTCCTTATCAGCCATTCTAACATATATACTGCAACGGTGCCCTGACATGCCTAGTGGAGCAGGTAAGGGGCTGATTTCCAGACAATTTCCTGGTGCCCATAATAACAGGCCACCAAGGCTTCCTTGCATTACAGGGACTAACCAACCACGCCAGACGGGCCAGGACCTCAAAACAACCCGCCAGGCAATGTAAACAGCCCCAACTACTGCATTTGGTCCAACACCTCACTCCAATGCAATGGGCTGCAATGCCAGCACCATATGCTGGAGGCACAGCTCTGCACCTCCTGTTCCAATAAACATGCTTAAGGGATACACATGCCTGGATAAACAAGACTTAGTTTAAACTGGCTCCCAGTGGGACCAAAGTAGTCGTCTTTGAAATCCCTCTCCCCTTGAAAAGGCTCTTTGCAGAAAACAAAAACTGAGAATATAAATAATATAATAATAAATAATAAAGGAAGATCAGATAGCTCAAGCTTAACGCTGTGTTAGCCTTGTTTGCATGATAAGGGAGAGATGTTTAAAGTTTAAATCCTATAGGTCAGAGAAAAAAGTGATAACATATTCATGGCTAGCCTTTTCCCAGGTTAGTATTGTTACACCCAAAGTCTTTTTTCGGCAACTCCTCTTACTCCTACTGAAATGAACGTCCCTGAGCAAGAAGCATGAAGTGAAAAACATGAAAAATCCTTTCAATGGTATAACCCCCCCGCTATCCTAATGTTTGAAAAGAAGATACATTATGGGTTTAATTACAGTAATTTTAATGTTTTAAAGAAAGAAAAGGTACCTGTAAAACAGAAGCCCCACTGTGCAGAAACTGGAGCCCACTTTCAGCAGAATCAATGCCTCCGGTTGCTAAGATGGGAAATCCTGGGAGAGCACGGGCTATGGCAGACACCGCGCGGAGGGCGATGGGCCTAATAGCATTTCCTACAGAAAACCAGAACGTTTTGTTAGCCACGTCAGAACACACCCTGATGCACATCCCTCCTGGTAGGAACATCAGGAACTAACATCTAATTCTGAGAGGTAGAGGTCATATTCATTTATAAATTGACACCGAGTGGGTTTCAGGTGGTATCAATACTTGCATTATGAATTTGGCTGAAACAAAGAAAATCACAGAAACATTTGGACAAACATTGCAAAGCTGGCTTGAACACTTTAGCTGATGCTCAAAACAAAGACTAACGATGCCTGAGACAGAAAGCAATACTTTACCATACATTACACTGTAGACAGAGATCTGTGTTTCCACATAAAGAATCAGGTTGATTTTTTGAACACAGATGTTGTCCAAGTAAGAGGGACCATCTCATTTGTTTATGTCTGACTAAAAATTGTTTAAAAGGGCCATTTCACTGCACTCAACATTTCATATATTATTTAGTACGTTTCCCCTTTGGATGTTTGTAGATTCGGATAATCCTTTAAGTAAGCCCCCTTTAACTATTAACATGATAGTCAGAAGCTCAAAAGAATAAAATATACTCATTCATGGTTGTATCTCCAAGACTGGAGCTTGCATTTTCAAATGGTATATAGAGGCTGAGTCAGACAACTCCCTGCTACATTTAGAGGAATCATGATTATAGCCTCAATACACTGTGTCTGCAATGCATCTGCTTTGGCTACACCCTATTGATGGCATGCAAGTATTTTAAATATGCATACGGATGCTGCTCATTAAATGATGGATAGCATAGGCAGCTGACACTTTCCGTTATTTATTTTTCAGGCTAGTTGGTATTTCTCTAGATAACTCCCGTATTCTTAAAATTTATACTTAATTTAGAGAACCTTTAGGATGACTCTATGCCATCACTGAACAACAATACAGTAGTGTAAGGGAGGGACACATCGCTCCCAGAGGAACTGGCTGCCAACCTATGCAAGGAAGTGTTAGTAATTTTTTTAAAAATTTTTTTTTTGTACTGTATTAGGTAACTTGGGGAAATACCATGACATGAAATACTACTGAACACCGTCCACGGGTATTTTTATAATCTTCAATGCTTTGACCTTCTGCAAGAGCGAATAACCAAAAGGGAAGAAAGAAGTAAAACCAAAGCAATGAACTAAGCAAGAGGAAGAAGAAATCACAACTAGGAAGTGTGTGTGGAAAAAAAGCCCATGCAGAAACAGTAGCTGCTGCATCGCCACACCTCTGCTTCGATGCCTGACCAACATCCTTATTCCTTCAGACAAAACTTCTTCAACCCAAACAAGCTGTGTTGCCATTCTTTCCGTATCCTTTCTGAGACAGAAATACTGCAGTCTGCTGGGTGGATTTTTAAGACAGACTTGAATAAAGGGTAAGTTGTTTTTTCCAAGCAGCCCTGTCTCACTGAGCCCAGCACTCACCCTCCCTCCAGTGTTCCCATCAGTGCTTCCTCTCACGCAGAGTTTTACGGGTCTCTGTGAAGGACCCACTGTTGGCTCAGGATTCTGCTCTCTAGAAAGAGCCTCTTCCTGGTTTGTGCATCAGCTGAGACCTCCCTGGAGTAGCTGGAAGGGTCAATGAGGAGAATGATCCCACACAAGTTAAGGTCACAAAACTTGTCATGTTTTGCTTCAAACAGGACAGCTGCACTGTCACTTTGTCAAAAAGCTCTTTTTTCACGGTAATTTTCCATTACAGAAAACTGAAATTTTGTTTGTCTTAACCATTAAAAATACTTTGTCTTCAGCTCACATTGCCTTTTGTAACATACCGCTGCCCCTCACTGTAACCCTGACAGACAACACTGAATTCACAGGAGACCCTGGCCCATCAATATTAAACACATTCACATCCAAAAGCTCAGGTAAGCAGCCTCTATTGACTCTGTTGCTCTGGATTCAGCACAAAATTATCTCCTTGGGCAATGCCAAATGCTGCTGCCTCAGGATAGACACCTTCTCATTACATACTTAATACAACACCTCCTTATTCCTCAATAGCTGGTCTCTGCGCCTGAGCAAAAACCAGAAGACTCATTATCTGATCAGACAGACTCTTCTACCTGCCATCAAGACACACTGGATATTCTTCCATGCTCGTGTTAAGGATCAGGACTGCTCACAGCTTTACGCAGATACTTTTTGCAAGTTTAACAGAGACTACATACAGCTATAATGTTTTCCGCATATATAAATGGACAGCCTAAGCCAAGGAGCACTATCAGTGTGTTTTGGTGAAAACTAGAGCCTGGTTCATAAAAATTACATATCTCACCAAAACCACCTAAAAGAATCTAAGATCACACCAGGACAGATCACAGAAAGGAGCTGGAGCTGAACAGGAACTTTCCACAGGACACTAATGACTATTTGCTATCATTTGATCTAGATCAGTTGTAATGCACTTGAAAGGAACAGAATGAATTCTCTGAAAAGTATGACTGCTATGTCCAAAGAATAAACATTATGACAGAATGGATGGTCCACTCTTAGAGAAAGGCTTGAGCCCCGCCCCCCCCCCAAAAAAAAAAAAAAAAGGAACCATGCTGCTTGCTGTCATGGATTTATTTATAAAGCCTTTCGGAGAGCAGGCAGGCCAAGACATACACTACACAGCCATAGCCACTGAAAATAATCTCATCGAAAAACACTAGTCCATGAAATTCTTCAAATATTCAGTGTTTGAAATTGAGGCTACAGGTAAGCATCAGACTTGCTATATTGCTCCCAGGAACTAACACAGCTGCTCCAGGATCTCACTGTGATGAGGCAGTTATTTTTTAGAAAGGTGAAAGAATACAGACGCTGGTAACTCTGAAATCGTGTGGCTTGAGGGAAATTTCTTCCTCATCTGCATGAGCTAAAAACTGGCATCCGCCTTGAGGCATGAAGGCTTGTATTCTTTTAACCCCAATGTAACTCTGAGAGTTTGCATTCAGTCAGTTTTTAAGCCTTATAGACCCTTGACCTTAATGATAACTTGTAGCAAAGAGTTCTATGAGAACATATTTCCAGAATATAATTGTTCCTTCCCTCAGTCTGATTAAATTAGTCCCCTTCTCACTTAAATGACCATCTCTGTACAATGGTCAGCAAAGGAAAAGGAGCAAATGACAGTTTACTTAAGGTTTCAGCACAATAGATAATCAGCAAGGCCTTCATTCAGCCCAAAGAAATCAAGCATATGATTTGATGAAGCCTAGCAGAGACGGCAATGAGACTTGGAATTTATTATGGAGCGCAGGTACTTTTTAGTGCTAGCTGCACTTGATATTCATAATATGAGTTATTACTTACATTTGGTGATTAGTAAATTAGTGATAAATTGGTACGATCGCAAAAGTATTCCATTAATCTATAATTCACCCAAATGAATTTAAAAACATTTCAGGAGTGCTTCTGATGAGCGTAAATAAATGGCTCTAATGACAATCAGAGGGTTGACTGAGGTGTCACTATTCATCCCAGAATTTTTTTCCTTAGTCTACAGAACACAGAACAAGCACATCAGAAGGTGCAGCCATTCTCTCATGCATTTCTTGATCAACAGTTCAGAAGCTTCCTTCCATAATAAAAGCTGCTGGTCTGGAATGCAATGTCATTTACTGGTGATTGAGATCCTACCGCCTAATGAAATGGTGAAACAACCTTCCAGATTAAAGCCCACCCTTCACCCCCCAAAAAAGGAAAAAAATACAAACAATAGTGATGGCAAGCTATTAAAAGAAAAAAAGGCAAATAATAATTTTTAAAAAAGGCATATGAGCATTGAATTTGATGTGGACTCTCTATTCTCTTGCATTTTCATATGAGTGTCACAGGAAGGTAATAAATTCCGTTACAGAGATTTGTGGAGAAAGAGTTTTTAAAAGGTTGAAATAAAGGAGATTTAATGCCAAATTTTAAAAGAGGTGTAAGTAGTAGTGGGAATTTGCAGAATGTTGTCTGATAAATCCAATGGTATTTAAGAAGCTGAGGTCCAAATCCAGCACGCATTTGAAAGCTCACATGCTAAAAAATAAGCTTCTACCACATACTTTGACATGTTGGGACCTGTAATTCCACTAGTTAAGCAACCGTAGCTGGGGAAACTGCTGATATGGTACTCTCTTGATAGCATTACAGCTGCTACCAGATGCTAGATATGGCTATCATTTACCTTTCTGTAAAATAATGAGATTTAATAAACAAAGTCCATTTATCCAGACCTCAAGCAGGGGAGTGAGATTTGAAAATGGAAGACAGACAGAAAAATACCTGGTGGAGATGACATGCTACTCAAAACCTCTACTGAAAACCACTCTTTCAAGTCTCTCATTAATTATGGAACAAATACTTGCTATTATACAAAGATTTAAACAATGAAATAATTATATGATGCAAAGTCCTTGACCTTTTTCGTGCCTTAAAACAAAGAGTTTTGGTTTTCTTTCTTTTTTTTTTTTTTTTTTTAAATAATAAAATGTCAGATTTTTCCTGACTATCGGGGACTGCATTCAAGGAAATCCAATAGGCAAAATACAACATGAAGGAGAAGCAGAACACACATCAGTCAAGTGCCTCTCCCTGATAGCGCAGGTAGGCAGAGCTGCCCTTGTCTTCTGAGGACAGCAGACTGATGACAATCTGATGAGAGGTATTATACCTACTTATTTGTTTCATTGTTTCTTTTTCCTTAGGAAGTAAGAAACCCTTTACAATGTCAGAAGACACATGGTTTATTATAACTTCATAAGCCCTTGGAGTCCCCAGAGGACTCGACCCTGTCAAGCAGCAAGAATGTTCACTAGATTGAGGCTTGAGAGCCAAACTTCATGCTTTCTTCAAGAAAGAGAAGCCTGGCATTAAGCTTCAAGCAACCCAGTATCTTTGGAAGTTCCTAGCAGAAACAATTCAGATCTTCTTGATCCCAGTGATCCACCAATGGGGAAAAAAAGTCTTAGACATCTTGAATACTGGGCCATATTCTCACTTGCAATATATTGCTA